GAGACCTACGCGTCACCATCGCGCAGTTGCGGGAAACCGTTGTCAAACTCGAAGAGGAGCTAAATACCGCAAAGAATGAAATTCAGGTGCTTGTCACACAGAAAAATGAATTGGCAGCGAAATGTGAGGCAATGAGGGGTGACCATGCGCGGCGAATAGCGGAGATGGAGGCGCGTATGAATGCCGAGCGGGAGGTACAAATTGGAAAGAGAGATGCGCTTGAGGCGGAGATTGCTTCCCTTCGCAATAAGCTCCAGGCCGATGCAGAAGCGAGCGAACGGAACTGGGAAAGCAAAATTAGGGCACAAGCAGAAGGGTACGAGAGCCGTTTGCGACAAATTTGTGAAGAGCATAATAACAGGCTGCGTCATCTTACGGAGTTGAACAATTCAGCCAACGCACAACTAGAGGCGAGACACCAAGAGCAGATTCGCAACCTCATGGAGGCGGCTAAGCTACAAAAGGAGGCAGAACGTAAAGAATCGAATATCGAGAGAAAAGAGTTTGCTAAGCAGTTGCAGCGAGGTGAGGAGGAACTGCAGCGGGCGAAGGATCAAATGGACGCTATGCGGCAAAGTGCAAAGGAGCATGCAACTCGATTCTATGATGAGATACAGTCACAGAGGCAGTACATTGAAAAGTTTACCGCCGATTATGAACTCCTACGAGAGGAGCTCCAAAAGTCCAATGTTGAGCTTAACGGCTTGCGTGAGGAGTATGCCCAGCTTGAGAAGGAGATGCGTCTGTGGAAGGGCCGTGAGTGTGACGCTCGTCAGGCGTTGGAGCGGCTGGAAGAGGCATCATCCCGATCGATGAAGGAGGTGGAAGCGCTGCACCGAGATTATGTCTCGAGTATGGAGGAGAAGTTTTCGCAGAAGACGCAGGCCGCTTTGGCTGAGCTCCGTGCCACTTTGACAGCAGAACGTGATGCAGTGCAACTGCGAGCCGATGGGGTGATCGCGGCCGCGCGGCAGAAGTGCGCCGACCTCCAGGAGGAGGTGAAGAGTCTAAACCTCAAGTTAGACGCATCTGTGCACGATATTCGGAAACGCACGGAGGAGCTCGAACGAGAGAAAAGTAGAAAGGAGGCGGTGCATCGTGAGTTTACCGCAACGTTGGAGGCGATGCGGCGCGATTTTGAAGATGAAAAGGAGAGCCAGCGCCGCGACACGGAGAATCAGCTGAAAGAAATATCAACTAACCACAAGACGATCATTGATGATCTCATGGAGCAACACGATGAGGAGCGAACGACACAAAACAATGTCATACGGAAGTTGCAGGCGGCACTCGATGAACTGCGGTATCGTTATGAGTACCGCGAGTCAAGAGAAGAAGATGTCGCGATGATTAACCGTCTTATGAGGGAAATAAAGCAGAAGGATCAGGCGCTGGAAAAAACGATACGCGATATGAAGATGTATAAAATGGAGCTTATCAATCGCGAGGAGAATTATAACAAGGTCTTTGGACGACGGCCGCTTGTCGAGCCCGGCCCTCCAGCTGACAAGGCACCGCGGCTGCTGCAGGGGATGCGAGAAAACCGAGATCGAACAGAAAGGCGAGCAACGCAGCAGTAACAAATCTCTCTTTAGAAATTGATTCAAGCACCTACGCATCATATTTATAAAGACATTTGGACCTTTTTTCTTCTTTTTCTTTTTACTTTTGTTGTGTTTATTGTTGTTGTGTTTATAATTACTTTGGTTCTTGCCTGTTTGCAGGTGTGATTTGGCTGCTCTTGGCTTCAGGACCTCTCACGCCTTTCTAGTGGGAGCTTGGGTTTTAATTCCTTTTTATTGTTTTTCTCGATTTCGCTTTACGCATATGTGTGCGGGTATTTTGCACTTACGCATGTAAAAGTAAGGCGATAGGTTAAATTAAACGTTATTAGGACATCCACCCGCAACAAGAGCGAGGAGAGTGACAGAAAGAGTGAATCATGTCTACAGTAGAGGAACTGAGGCAATCAGGGAATGCCGCGTTCTCGGCTGGGCGATATCAGGAGGCATTGGCGTTTTACGAACAAGCCCTTGCATTGGATGCGGAGAATGTTGATCTCCTTAACAATGCCGCGGCAGCCAGTCACTCACTGAAAAAATATGACGACGCCATCGCCTACGCGAGACGGTCTTTGAGCGTCCGTGACAACTTTAAGGCGCACACACGAGTAGGTGCGGCACTGTGGGCTCTGAACCGACTGCCCGAGGCCGCCATGGAGTATGAGCGGGCGGCAGTATTGTCGCCTGGTAATCCAAGTCTCGAAGAGAGCCGGCAGACACTGCTAAGGCTGCTGCAACAGTCTTTTGGCAGCGGTGGGGTTGTACCTCCGCTCTGCTCAACCGGGAAACTGGGAGTGTGCCTCGATGTTGTCGTTGTGACACTTGCACTGCTGACGATGTTCTTTTTATTTTTTATGCCTGCGCTAGCCAAGAAGACGTGGAATTTTTTGATGGCTACAGCCGTCGTGCAGCAAGCCATGATAGCGCGCAAGCAAGGCCTCCTTAAGGCCTCTAAAGAAGTTCTTTTGAAATGGAGTGATCACCGTTGCACACTAGAGTTATTGCTCTGCAGCATTGCATTAATCGGTGCCGTGGAGCCCCAGATGCTGTTGGTGAGTGCACTGGGTATATACAGTGCGGTAAGTCTTGCTTCGAATCTACCGACGTTATCGAACATTTCACCATTCCTGCATCGTCTCTGTGCACCGTATTTGCAGAGGGTTTTAGCCAATCAATCCATGGTTGCAAACTATGCTGCAACCCTGGAGGCTATCATGCTGTTCACCGTCATGTTTTCGGGTGGGGCTATTTTCACTCTTGTCTACATTCAGTACGTGAAGAATCTATATCTTATTGACAACAACACAAGGGTTGCCTTCACAGGTATTCGCATGAATCTTTCACGTCTTACCCGTCATCCGTACATGCCTCTTTTTGTAGACACCTATATGCAGAAGTTTTGTGAACTCATTTACACGATCGCCCAACGGGGCATTTGAAGGAAGAAGAAAAAAAAAAAGGGGACTTTGTTTTTAGTAATTTTTTTAAAAAAAAAACTCTTAGATTTTTATATATTTTAAATTAATTACATCTAATGAAATTGAGAAATGTGAATGGCGTGTGTAAGCATTTTCATTTTACCCCTCGCCTCACCTTTTTTTTCTCCCATACATATTATATGTATGTGGGGCAAAAAGGCTGCGTTTACGTGCATTATTTGTACTTTTTAAAAATCTGGACATTTGAATATTTTGTTGTTGTTGTTTCCTCTATTTGTGTTTCTTTGGCGTGCTGCGCAGTTTAAGAGCACATTGCATACAGCACGCAAACAGAGCCGTGGCCAAAACATACGGCGAAAAAGAGAAGATGCAGCACGCAGGCACACGCGCAAACAAGAGTGACACCGCAAAGGATGCCGCACACTGCTCGGATACGACGTCATTTCAGGAAGATGCGGCCCACGTGATCATGGAGGTTGATCGCCTTACAGAGCAAGGCGTTGCCACCGCAGACATTGCGAAATTGCGGCAGGCAGGCATTTTTACGGTTGCGGGGATCCACATGCAGTGCCGAAAAGAATTGGCGCTTATCAAAGGCCTTTCGGACGCCAAAGTGGAAAAAATCATTGAGGCGGCACGAAAGCTCTTCGACTGTGGTTTTACGAATGGGGTCACTTACCTGCAGCAGCGTGGCAAGGTGACACGCATGACAACTGGAAGTACTGCTCTCGATCAATTATTAGGGGGAGGTATTGAGAGTATGTCAATTACAGAGGCCTTTGGTGAGTTTCGCACGGGAAAAACACAGATTGCACACACGCTCTGCGTGACTTGTCAATTGCCCACTTCCATGGGCGGGGGCAATGGGAAGGTGATATATGTGGACACAGAATCCACTTTCCGTCCCGAACGCATTAAGCCTATTGCAGCTCGATTTGGTCTTGATGCGGACGCAGTACTTAATAACATTCTTGTGGCACGGGCGTACACACATGAGCATCAGATGCATTTGCTCTCCATGGTGGCCGCAAAGATGGCGGAGGATCAGTTTGGCTTACTTGTGGTGGACAGTATTACTGCTCTGTTTCGGGTTGACTTTTCAGGTCGAGGTGAGCTGGCCGAACGACAGCAGAAGCTCGCAAAAATGATGAGTCATTTGATAAAACTAGCTGAAGAGTTCAATGTGGCGGTGTACATTACAAATCAGGTTGTGGCAGACCCTGGTGGTGCATCGATGTTTGTTGCCGATCCGAAAAAGCCAGTCGGTGGGCACATTCTTGCACACGCCTCCACGACACGATTGTCGCTCCGCAAGGGCCGAGGTGATCAGCGTGTTTGCAAGATCTATGACAGTCCGTCCCTGCCGGAGGTGGAGTGTGTCTTCAGTATCTCCGAACAGGGCATCGTTGATGCACGTGAGTAGTTTGGAGTCAGCACCAAGATTATTATTATTATTATTATTATTATTATTTCTTTCAGAATACCCTTACCTTTCATTATTTTTTTTTTTTTTCTATTGCCAATTCAAAGTGCAAAACTTGTTTTTTGAACAGATTTTTTTGTTTTCAAATATGAATACGCATGCAGCCATCATTTTCTTTGTGTGTATTTGGGTATTTTTTTAATTATTATTACTTATTATTTATTGGGATAGGGAGAAATGAGTAAAACGGAAGGGTAGGTGGGTGAATCTTCCTTTTTATTTGTTATTGTTGTCTGTATGTTTGTTTTTATTTTTTTATGAAGGGAATTTATTTCCTGCTGGTTATTATGTGCCTTTGGCCTCCGGATTGGCTGGGTTGGGTTACCATTATTTATATTGCGTACATCTGCATATATTATTATCACTATTATTATTATTGTTATTATTATTATTATTTTTTGTGTGTGTTTGCAACCAAGTGAGTGTGGGCCACTGTTCTCGTCTTGGAGTAGTGGCTTCCACCAGCAGCAACGAGGCAGTGAGATATATAGGGAGACATTTCTACTCCCCGGGGCGATGCCGCTTTCTATTCCAAAGGCGATTGAGACCGTGAGGCGTTACGTTGCCGACCAGCGCGATGACGCAACTGGCTCCGTAGGGAATACTACATGCTTGCACTCATCAGCTGTTGAGGTGTGCGAAGACCCGCAGCGACGGATACTTCCGGCATTTCGGGAAACGTGGAGGGGCGGGCCGAATATCATCGCATCAAACGACGGCTCGTACTTTGTCGCCGCGGATTGTCTCTGGCACGACCGCAACCGTATTTTGGCGGAGGAAATAAAAGATTATGCCAGTCTAAAAGAAACCCCATGGGCTGGGGGAAAGTTGGCGTCTACGCTTTCAAGTTGTGCTCGGTGCAAAATTGACGCCACGTCCGCCATTTTCTCCAATTGGCCGAGGGAACAAGTCACTGAAAACCTGGTGAAACAATCCATTCTGGACAGGGCAAAACTATACCGTAGTTGCCGGATAAATTATATTCATGGGGCATTGGGTCTGCAGGAGAGCCCGTACGGTCACGCTGGCGAGGTTTACGGCGACATCCACCAGAAACTGTCTCGGGCTCGCGCTCGGGCAATTTGCCCCGTTAAACGACAGGCAAAACACACGGGAGACAGTCTCTTTGGTAGCATCCCGCTGCGCCAGACTTTGTGTGTTCGCCGCAAGGGCGGGGTTGAACCAAAGGACCATTTATTTGGTTCCCTGCACGTGGAAGAAAAAAAATATTTATAATGTAAACAAAAATTTCCTGCATTTTTGCTTTTTTTTTTTTTTTTTCTATTCTCCGTTAATGTGATTTAGTGTCATCGAGACAGAGGAGGGAAGTCGAAAAGGAAAAGCACCCCTGTGAGGTTTTGTATTTTGTCATACTCCCATCATCATCGTTATCGTTGTTTTTTGTTTTTTGTTGTTTTTGTTAGTTTTATTTTATTTTTGTTTCTTTTTGTTTTTATCTCCCTGCCCATTGCATGCTTTCTTACACGCTTTCATAATGAGGAAAGGGTGGAATTTTCTTCCCGTGTATAAAAGGCTGTCAATGCAGTAGCACCGGCAGTCAATGCGCCAAACAAGCGTCAAGTTGCTGCATTCCAAGCGGCTTGAGATAAAGCAACGGATGCTGCAGCGTAACGAGGCACGAAGAAGTCAGTTGCGGCATGCAGAGCTAGACCGTTTTCGTGCACAGTCGACTGAAGGTGGCGATCCAGAACAGGACGCCTACGAATTTATTGGCAGAGAATTTCATTGCGATGTGGGCGATCCCGCCGTGTTGGACCTCCTTCTTAGTATTGAGGAGGAGATCAGGAACGAACAGTTGGTGTCGTTGTACGAAGAGAGTCAAAATGAAGACTGGGAAAAGTACTTCCAACACCTTGCTTGACCATGAGAATTGTGCTTTGCGTATACATTTTGTTACCCTGATGGAGACAAAAAAGCACACATACGCGAAGAAAAGTAATCCAACACACTCACTCACAAACACACACACATACATCGAGACCGGGGATAAAAATAAAGACAATGGAAATTAAACGAAGGTAGTGGCGATGAGGGGCAGAATGGCTTTTGTTTCGCTACGGATTTCCTTTTTCTCTCTGTGTACGTGCGCTTGGATTTTGCTTAATTGTTGAGATAATGGTTGTCTTGACATAACCTTATTTGCCTCTTTTATTTTGCTTGAAGGTATTAAAAAGTTTATACTTTATTTTTTTTGCTTTTTGTTTTTTTTAATTTTTTACTTCTTTTTATTGCTGTTGTTGTGTCGGGTGGGTGTGACCACCAGACACAGGGTGAGGAGTTCATTTTTTGCAACCCGTAGGTACCGACATTTGGACCGTCCTATACATACATCTATATACATATATATATATATGACGGGTGAGGCCCTGGTGGGGGAGAAGCTTCTGCAGAAGCTTCGTCCCTTTTTTCTCGACTGCTGCAAGCCCCCACAATGCCTAACGCCGGCATCGTCGACGGAGTCTCTTACAACGCGCTCTCTTTGGACGCAAGAGATCGACTGCATGCGGCTCCTTGCCGTGCTTCCAGAACTGGGTGATCTTCTTTTTTGTCAAACAATGACGCTAATAGACGCCCTACGGCAAGTCTGTGCGGAGATGTGCAAAAGCGCTGGTCGGTCCCTCAATCCAGCTGACCTTTCACCGAGGCTAACGCATCTGCCCACGGTGGGCGCGCCGCCACCGTCCATGCCATCCTCCCGCGGGGTGCTTGTCAGTCTCTGTGGAACAATAGTGCGGATGAATGCCAAGCGAGTGGTGCCATTTGTTCATAAACTGAAATGTGCTAAGTGTGGAGATACAGTTGAGATGGCGTCCAGTCCCTTTGATCGTGGCTCAAAGCCAAAAGGGCGTTGTGGACGTAAGGAGTGTGGGGGCGGGGAACTTAAACCAGTTGGCCAGGTTTGGATGGATTACGCGGAGTGTCGCCTGCAGCAGCGCTCCAATCTCTCGGGTCGGCTTCCTCGCACACTCCTTGTAACCCTTGAAGATGAACTGACGATGAAGTGCACTGTGGGTCAGTTTGTCGAGGTAATTGGCATCTCATTTCCCAAATGGCGTGCCTTGTACCCCAACAGTCGGCCGATTATTGAACCCACTGTATGGGCCCTTAACATCAATTCGGTGGAATCCTACCGTGAGGGGGGTTCTGGCAGCATGGCCGCAGTACCACGGCGCAAAGCGGTTGGTTCGATGGAAGGATCGGCGTTCACTCCGGAATCTTTTTTTTATTCCTTTTGCAAAGATAAACTTCGTAGGAGTACTGCATTGGTAACTTCTGTGTGCCCACATCTTTTTGGACTGTTTGCCCCACGTATGGCTTTACTTCTTGCGGTAGTAGGAGGGACGTCCACAACTGGTAAGGCACGTATGCACATACGATCTACAATTCATTGTCTTCTTGTGGGGGATCCTTCAACCGGGAAGTCTCAGCTGCTACGATTTGCCGCCCTGATTGCGCCGCGGAGCACCTCCACCACCGGGACTGGGAGCACCTCTGCTGGCTTGACAGTGGCGGCGGCGAAGGAAAACGGCGAATGGGTTTTGGAGCCAGGTGCCTTGGTACTTAGTGACGGTGGCATTTGTGTTATTGATGAACTAAGAACCGTATCTTCGGCCGATAGGGCTTCTCTGCATGAGGCCATGGAACAACAAACAATTTCAGTGGCCAAGGCAGGGATGGTGACAAAACTTAGGACGTCTTGTTCGGTCATTTCAGCGTGTAACCCGCCTCCGACACGGCATGGAGGAACGGAAATTGGTGTCGGTGGTCCGTTGCTCAGTCGTTTTGATTTTATTTTCTTGCTCTGGGATAAGCCTTCGATGGAGGTGGACAGTCGTGTTGCCACTCACATTCTCACGTGCTCTCAGGCCGGAAAGCAACCATCATCTGTTCTCTCACAGGAGGATATCAGTCGTTATTTGCGGTGGGTACATTCTCACTATGCCCAGAACGATGGTCCTTTGCTTTCCGATCAGGCAGCTGAAATTATAAGGACGTACTACGAACTGCAAAATCGGCGAGGGGCGTCACCCCTTCTTGCTGATTGCGTGCCAGTCACCATACGTCTACTGGAGTCCCTTGTGCGAATCACGCAGGCACATGCAAAATTGCATCTGGAAAATGTGTGTACAGAAGAGGATGCGGCGTTAGCGATATTCCTTATGGAACAAAGCGCCCATAGCTTGAAGTGTCCGTTGGAATCCCTTGGCCCAGATGTGTACACGAACTCCAAGTCACTGGAAGAGTGTTTTCTCGATCCAACTCCGGAGGGTGTACAGAGGCAACGTGCTGTGCTTCGGGCAATCGTGGATGTTTTTTCAAATTGCGGCAACGCCCATCACTCCTCCGATGACACAGCGACTGCAACATGGTTGGATAAAATGAAGTTCCCTTCAGAGGAGACGTCTTTACCTTCGCAGCAGTGCGGCAAGCGTGGAAGGGAAGTATCATTACCAAGCGATGCTGTTTTGCGTAGCGCACGGCGATTAGAAGCAGAGATATCTTCCCCGTTTTCGAGTGTGCAAACAGTGGTTCAGTACACGCCCAGTTCAATGTCGCAAACACCCATTAAGAAGAGTTGCAGACGTCGTGAAGTGGATGAAATCATGAAAAGTCTTGTGTTTCGTTCGTAACGAACTCCGAGCACTTTTTTCCCAGCGTCCCATTTTGAAATGATGTGCAGAGCCGGAGAGTGATGTCTCTCTCCCTCCTTCGCCTCTGCGTAAGTGTATGTGTGTTTGTTTGTTTCTTTCTTTGGATTTTATTTATTTGCTTTTTTCCTTATTACTTTTTTCTTTATTTTATTTTGGTTCATTTTTTTTTTTTATGGAATAGCCGATTATCATCGCAAATGCCGAACAACGACAGCCACGACGCTCAGTTACTGCGGCACTATGCACAATTTTTTCCAAATGTGCTCTTTACATCGGAAGAGGAGATGGAGAAGTACTGCCAGGATGCCAGGCCTGATGCAGTCAAGAAGGTTCTTGACCTTCCGGAGGGGGAAGAGGTACCTGAGGATGCCATGAATGATCCCCGTGCACATTTGTACATTTTGAAACATATTGTGGGACGTAACGCAACAACGGCGGCGTTTGTTGCTCTTCGAGGGTCTGATAAACAAAAGGTAGTAGCGAAGTTTATCATGTTGAATGACGAGAAACAGGCGGCATATGCGCGGAGCGAAGTTCATTGCTTGGCTGCCTGTGATCACTTTGGAATTGTCAAGCACTACGATGACCTAAAATCTGAAGACAAACTGCTATTAATCATGGAATACGGAAGTGGTGGTGATCTCAATAAACAAATCAAGCAACGCCTCAAGGAGCGGCTGCCATTTAAGGAGCATGAAGCTGGTCTTTTATTCTACCAAATTGTACTGGCATTGGACGAGGTGCACAGCAGGAAGATGATGCATCGAGATTTGAAAAGTGCCAATATATTTTTGATGCCAACGGGTATTATCAAGCTGGGTGACTTTGGCTTTTCCAAGCAGTATACGGATTCTGTTTCTCTAGACGTTGGCTCATCTTTTTGTGGGACCCCGTACTATCTTGCACCGGAACTTTGGGAAAGAAAAAGGTACAGCAAGAAGGCTGACATGTGGTCACTTGGTGTTATTCTGTATGAACTTTTGACGTTGCACCGTCCGTTCAAAGGTCCTTCCCAACGTGAAATTATGCAGCAAGTTCTGTATGGTAACTATGATCCTTTTCCGTGTGGCGTATCGGATGGAATGAAGGCGGTTATGGAGCCTTTGCTTTCAAAGGATCCTGCGTTACGCCCGACCACCACACAGTTGTTACACACAGAGCTTATGAAATATGTGGCCAATATATTTGAGGAGATTGTGAGAAACTCCGAGGTCATTGAGAAGCACGACAAGGAGCGCATCCTCAGGCAACTTGCAGAGTCACGGGCAAAAGCGCCCCCACCAAATTCCATTCAAGCTGGTGCTGTAAGTAACGACGTGGTGCGTGAGGGATATCTCCTTAAGTACAGTTCAGATATGAAGTGGAAAAAACGATACTTTTCCATTAAGAATGGGCAACTTCGTATTTCTCTCACGGACAACCCCGAAAAGGACGGTGTCTCCCCAAAATCTGCCAGTCTGGAGACCGTTAATGATGTATTCCCGGTGCCAGAGGCCTACTGCCGCTCCAACCCGCATCAGCTGGTTATTTGGTTTACCAATGGTCAGAAGATCATTGCCATGG